TTTTTTTGTGTGCACACTATGCATATGCATTGGAAATATTAAGTTATTTCCGAACTGAGCAGCCACAAGTTTTGATTGGATGAAGACTGAGTTTGAATACATAAATAAATGAAGATACTACACTATATGACAAGAATGTAACAAAAACAATACTGTACATTCAATCAATGTCACATATGTTATCTTTTAAAATTAAAACATCTACCAACATCTGAATTTATCGGTTGTTGTTCCATCCGAGCTTATTCCAAAGCACTTGTTTGTATTGACATACCTTATTGTGAAGAATTACTTTTTCTATTATTATAGACCATTTAGGTTAATGAAGGAAAAAAGGAACCTTTTACCAAAAGGTCTACATAAGTCTCCAAATGGGGGAAAATAGCAAAGAAAAAATTGTCATGTCTTGAAAAATGTTTATTTATGCCTTTTCTGTACATGTGCACAAGAGTTATGATAACATGGAGCTAAAAGCAGGTGAAATAAGTAAAGTGACAGTTATGTTATTGACAACACAGGCTCTCTCGGCCCAGGTAGTTTGACTTGGAAACATGCAGGTTCCAGCTGTAGTTGCCATTTTAAACCCTTGTGTTATTCTATCAGTCTGGACTAAATGGACCCTGACTAGATCCTTTCAAGTCTTTGCAATAGGCACAGCAAGACATGCCCTGCTTACCACCATAAAAACAAGCCTTGTGATTATTGCCCTGGTGCTGTGAGGGATTTACCCCTTGCCTCCGACTGAAAGTGGGCCGCAGCAAAGGTGCTGGACTATTACACTGAGAAAGATGATCCCCTTAACTGATGGCTGGAGAGAGAAAGTACATAATCTCTTTTCTGAAAACTCTTCATATTTGGCAATATACAAAAATACACAATCATAATAATATTGCTCCTTTACAGTACTGCATTTTTATCAAACCCTTTTCAGGCCAGGACCTAAACGGATAAGTCAAATAATTAGCTATAAGAAAGAAACCCAATAAGTGACTTATTAAAATCCATAGACACACTGGGTGACCTTAGTCCTTTTGAGAATGTGGATCACGTGATGATCAATAGGTCCCGCTCCACAAGCAGTCTCTTGTGCTTCTTCCACAAGTTTCTAGCAATCACTTGAAATGGGGTTCTGCTTTATGGCTCGTCCTTCTGACAGCAGCAGAATGCAGAAACGTCGGGGTGCTGCACTGTGCTAGACATTGCATTCCTTACAGCAGTGGTGCAAAAGGGTGTGTTTTATTTTGCCGACAGGACCTGGTGTGGGGCTGCAAAGATCTTCTCTGTGCTCCCTGTAGTCATTGTTCAGCACATAATTAAAGTAAGCTATCACTTTGCCAACAGAGAAACACTTAAGTTCAGTGACTTGCAGCCAGCGTGCTCACTTTACAAACTGTTACTTGGCAAGAAAAGAGCCGTGCTTTGGTTTACAAACAACATCTTGTTAGTGGCAAAGAAGGACAAACATACAGTATGGCGCTGTCTTACAGAAATCGAAAGGCCTTGTGAATTCAAGAACAGTGTTTTTCCTTTCTGCACGAAAGAGTTGAAGAGAAATTATGTTTCTTATGAAGCTCTGATTTGGCAGCATTGACTGGTATGAAATGCAGAATAGCAAGTAATATTTTCCAAATGTAATATAAAAATATCAATTGGCATGACTTTGTTTTATTATTTGTACACTGATTGCAACATAACTGCAGCATTCTTTTGCTCCCTCCGGGATCTGGACCTTGCAGTAAGTTTAAAATAACGAATATTGTGTCCACTCCTGCTTGGATTGATCAGTTTGCTTCAGCTAGAATTGCATTGTGTCTCTAACTTTAAAAATATACTGCTAATAATGACCAACATGATCTAAAGGCATTGAAAGAGATCTGTACACTTAGCCAACGTTTGGCAGTGCAGACAGGCTGATCCTCCTCATTTAGGGATTACTAATTGGCAGTTAATTAGGAGGATTGATTCTGTTGTCTGATCCCAAGGCCCATCCCTAAATTCATTTGATCTGACTTCTGTTACTGTACAATATTAATTACATTTTTGATATATGTTGAACTGGATTTGGTGCATTTTGAGAAAACCGCTTGTGCCTTGAGCACAGTTTTCACCTAGAAATCTGGTAAAGACAGCTTTGTTGCTGTACAAATTGGCTGATATTTAAATTCCATAAACATTGCCTAGAATATCTAAAACAAAAGAAAGCAAAGATCTGTACATTTATACTGAACACAACAGTATGATATTCTTCGTTCTAAAATGGCAAAAATGAATTGCTAGCATATGTGCTCAAAAATGAACAATTGGTGTTTGTAGTATTGGCTTTTATTTTGTATGTTTGTTTGCCTCAGTTTGGCGGTATTAAGATGTCTGTGTGTAATTAACGAGACCTACCCACCTGTCAAAGTGCAATTTGGTTATTTCATCATTGTCAGACAGCAGTAAATCTCATGGTCTGAGGAGGGCCCCACACAAATGGAAACAGGGCACTTTTCTAAACATG